ATCCATCACCTATCACAATCCCAATACCTACCCATCTAAAATGCTCTGCCTACCTCACCACCCATATACCCATCAACCACTTTATCCATCACCTATCACAATCCCAATACATACCTATCTAAAATACTTTACCTAGCAAGCGCTGTCTACCCACCGCCATATGTTAAAAAAAATACACACACTCAGTGGAAGTATATATGTGCCCCAGTTCTAGTGCTTTTCGTACGTATCTAGAGATATTGCTATGTCTTACCTCAGATCCTGGTCTTCCACTTGGTCCCCTTAATCCTGGGGCTCCCAATTGTCCCTAAAATCAATGGAAATCAATCATAAAAACAATCAGAGCATACAAGCAAACGCCTGTACCGACACTTCATAATTTGTAATGGCACAATGTTTTCCCATTACAGACGAAGTGCAATTCCCATGAGTTTGATTTTTTTTGCTTAATGGCTGCGTATGGGATGAAACATGAATATGGCACAACTCACATGGTCTTAATTGGGAAAACATTGTACCGCAATGAATAAGGTCTATTCCCCTTTTCTTCAGGGAGTCTTACCGGCTCGCCAACCGTTCCTGGTAGTCCAGGGGGTCCAATGACCTAAGGGGATTGAAATACTAGTAAGAACCATAAAGGTAAGGAACAATATGATACTAAAGACTAGTTAAACACTAAAATATTACGGACACAACATACAGGTGGCTATAAGGCTATTATCTATTACCATGGTATGGAAGGTGTAAATCATTTGCGCAAAGCCTTCTTTGCGCAAATGTCATGATTACAACAAAAGTTTATGCAATCACGAATGCCGTATTGCGTGACAGATTTTGTAACGCAATATGGCATTTGGTTTGAAAACATGAAACGGACTTACGAGCTGTAAGTCCAATTTCATGTAAAAAAAATTTCTCTACTCTTCAAGATTGACCTAGAAGTTGCGAAAGATACCTGAAAAGGAAGTACGTTAGCATTACCCTGTGAAAGGAATGTTTTGATTAGTAGTGCCTACCTGTTTGATACTTACGAATTCCGTGTACCAATGATATCCTAAGTGTCTCAATTTGAGTGACTTCCAACCTAAAGAAAACTTACCTTAATTTTCTCTGTACTGAGTCCGAGTATATCTTCTGAATACAAAGGAGCCAATCGCTATCCTACAATAAAGAATATCACAAAACTTTAAGGTCTACGTTAATTTGTCTTTGCTCATTAATCTCTCGCGTCAAGAAACCAAGAAACTTCCCAATATTTAACGGGGTCAATAATGGCCCTCAGTCAAATACCTGCTGATTTTCTGGAAAGCAAGAGGTCTTGGTATCGCTTTTTTCCCCTCGTTTGCAGTCATCGTCAAGAACCTGAGAAAACAAATGCGGTGATCATCATGTTACTTAGTGTAATCGTAATCGCAGGAAGCTTCCTGCTTCTTGTACTGATTTAAAATGTTTAGTAATTTTGTTATCCCAAAACAAACTCCGTTATTTTGGAAGATTACTAACCACAACAAAATATCATCTCAAATAGCTTTAAAACCCATTGCAGAGCAAAGGTGCCCATATGTACAAAAGGTTGCACATTTTCAATATTCCCCTTCACAGTTCCCTGCGACATCTTGAAAGGTAGCCGTGCCTTTGCATCGAAGCGAGACGAACAGTGAGTTTGCAATGATAGAGACATGTAAATAATTGTTCAAAGCGTTAAAAAAAGGTCTCTATCGATCATTGCAAACTCACCATTTGTCTCACTTAAATCTAGATTAGTAAATTGTTGGTAATACGATTTCGATAGGATCAGCAATGAACGATAGATACCGAACAAAAATTCATTCAATCGAACTCAATCCAACTTCAGCTGTTCCATTGTTTTATGATTGATTCGGCAATCGAAGATAATCAAACTGATGGGAAGTTCTGGTCAGTTCCAAAAACCGGAACAAACCATGCTTACCCTTATGTGGAGCGATCATAAGTTAAGGTTTTAACGAAAGACATAAATTCGAAAAGAACTTGGGGGAAATAATGTACGTAGTGCATCAGTGGAATGAATTAAGAGAGAGAATGGATTAGTAACACCAGGAGCCCATTACCCGCAGCGTACAAAATAATCAACTATAGACTGAATATATATACTCTCTACAATGACAGCATCATCAATATTTCATGTTCCAGTGAAAGGCTATGGAATTTCAAAGCGTTTGTATAAATTTATTGTACCAATGGTATTCGTGAATATTTAGACACCGAAATGAGGCTAATCCTGAGCAAATGATCAAGAAACACAGCAGTGTTGAACGAATTTTAAAGTGGACTTAACAGACCTCTGCAGTCTGATGTACCACCAAAAAGGGTAAAATAATATCAGAAGTTCCAATGCGAACAGATAAAGTCAATGATTCTCTTCATAAGTTAGTTAATGATTACAAAATATGTAAATTATAACGCCCCTTTTGATTGGTTGGCTACCGTATTTATATCAGAGGACAGAGACACGCTAGCGCAAAATCGCTCAAAAATATTTTATAAAAGTATTATAAAACGACTGCTTATGCCTCTGTACTGTGATAAAACATTCTGGGAGCTGAAGAGCACTCAAGAAGCAAGAGAAACACTAGCTACGCCTCGTGTTCCTAAGCTTGCTACTTTCGTGCTTTACAGCTCCCAGGGTGTTTATATCACAGTACAGAGTCATGCGCGCGCGTTTTATATTCCTTCAAGATATAAAATGCTGTGATATCAGCCAATCAGCCAGTCAAATTGCTATTTAATAACATTATCTCATAATATATTCAGTATAGACTCAATATAAATGTTAGTACTGTTATTTGAACAGCTTCATGTCGAACAGAAAATATATAGCCATGAAAAGACTTTAGATTTCTTCCTTGAAGAATAAGTCAATTCAATAATGTGTAACACAATGCAGCATTACATGTAACACGCGACGATGATGCCTTTTTCGTCACGATTAGACACGCACTAATACTAAAACTCTTCAACTTTTCCATTTTTATCAAACCGAGGTTTATTAATCAAGTGTAGAGCTTGTACAGGTATTTCTTGTTTTAGTTTCTGCATTTGGTTTGTCATGAGGCTTTTTGTGCTATTCAATGGTGCACTTCTGTAGAGGTCGGATTGGATTTCAGACTGGACTCGACTACAATCGGCTCCTTATATTCATTGTACCTTAGGAATTCTGATAATCTAGTGGCGTTCCGCGGTCATCAACTAACTATTGAGAAGCAGCTATTAACGAGTGCGATAGTCAACAATCCTAAGACAGTATTTATGAGTAAATATCTTACGATTAAATGTTACCTACAATTAGAATCAATAATTCTTTTATTGTTCTAGTCGTTGGAATAAATGCCTCTAAACAAACCTACTTGTTTATATATATATATTAGATCAACATATTTGTATTTTTGACGGTATAAAGTAATAGCGTTCTACAGCAATCGCTAAAAATGTAACTAATTCATGTATAGAGTATATAAACGAAGAGCAGTAATAAAATAAGCCGTAAGTGTAGAGTTTTCTACTAAGAGATACATACCCACATTGGTCTTGAATTTCGGTCAGGTTTAGTGTGATTCAGCGTTTTTCTGTCTCTTTGATGTTCCATACTGACTCTCAGATGTTGATTCTACCATATGCGTGCATTCGGAGCGTACGATGAGGCAATTGCGGGACCCAACGACAACGAATAACACAACCTTACCCAGAAAAGCTGTGCTAGGAATAGCTGTTCGTTCATGTCAGACAGGCTAGGTCGCTTGAAGGGCTTTTGCGAGCTGAAACTTGAGACAGCTTGCAATTTGTGGTAATCGGAGACTCCTTATATCATTGATGCCTATACGTACATAGGGCTCCTCTGGTGTGGGTTTGTAGTCTGGACGAGGTAACCGGCTGGAAATCTCCTTTGGCTGACCCCTTCAATACAATGAAACAATTTTGGGGAGAATATTTCGAAATATTTTCGGTGTCTTTTTATTTTGATATCTTAGTTACTTTTAATTCTAGGTCAGTTTTTGTGATGGTGCGATGTAGATATGGGTGTCCTCAAAGACATATTCATCTGTTGATCTTCATCTTTCAAGGTCAAGAGAGTACAGAGACAACTGAACAATGTTGTCTTGCAAAATTCAGCATTTCAGTTGAATTCGTTTCAGAATCTTTACTTTCCCAATATGTTTTCATTAATTTTCAATAATGAATTGTAAGTAATTTTGTGTCCATAGTTTTCTGATTGATTATGCTGCTGGTGAATTATACAGTGAATCATACGGCGATACGGCGATACGGCGATGAATCATACGGTTTAGAGTGAATCATACGGCGTCTAATAATCACCGATTTTCTGTGATTTCCTATGGTTATGCTGCTTTTTAAAATGTAACTTTCATTACGTCTGAGAGGCAGTAGAGAGCCTCTAAGAAAGAGCGGATAGATAATATAGGCTGAGCAGATGGGCGTAAAAATAAATGGTTGTGAGCCATTAGGCTTGTTCTGTGATTTCCTAATATTATGCTGCAATTTTAAATAAAGAAAGGATACTAGATTTTACGCTTTTTGACTTCCCATTCACATCCGCATATCTCTTATATAAACCAGCTTTATGAACAACAGCAAAAGACAGACTGTTAAATCTGCAATTTGTTATTTTCTTGTACTATTATAAATAAACTGTTAATTAGGTGTAAGACTATGGAACACGAGGGATCTCTGGTCTTTCGAGCCACTCGTTTTATTGAACCTCGTCACAAACTAGAGCAGAGTCAGGTTGTCGAAGGGGGCTGTCAGTCGGGATTCCCGTTACTCGTCCACTGTCCTAACTTACGTACCTCCCAGTACAACCCGAACTACAACCTTAGCCTTGCTCACAACTTTGAATGCACAGAATTAGTTAAATTGCTCATCCTTATATAACCAGGTAATCTAATCTGAAATTCTCTTTACATCATGTATCTAGGGACAAGTACAGTGTTTAGGTTTATTTGAAAAAGGTTYGTAAAACAGGAAACTACGAGTCGTAGATCTCCAAGTCAAAACAGTCTTGGTTACTAAAATAACCTTCCAAGACTTGCACTGGAATCATATACAAATAGCATTATTCATGTAAACAAACCATTCTTAAAATTCTGTTACATAACATAGGAATATTATAGTATTTACGATATGCGATACGCCCATTCCTGCATCAGCATTTTTAGTCATGGCCGTTGTCACTCTCTAAAGAAAATTATTGGACACTCTAGAGTGAAGTATAAATTCAAAACCATAGCTTGCTCGTAGCATTAGTTTCCAATCCCTTTTGGGACGAGCATATAACTTTTTTTTCAATCGTTTGAACATTTTCCCCTCCTAAAGATAAAAAATATTAGATCTAGAAAGATTCTGTACAAGGTCAAAATCAGAGATCTGATTTCATTGATTTACTCTCAGATGGATACGGGTGAACACCCTTGCCATGCTCGAACACCTGTCGTGATGCTCGATACTAGGTGTCCTAGCGACTTTTTCACAAAGACGCTGTTTAGCAAAAACTTTTTAAGACATACTTGCATTTATGCAATTTAATTTGACTTTTAGCTTTAGAAATATTCAAGTACAAAATCTAGGATTTCATTTGGTGGTTACCGTTTAACGCCATCCCCACCAACTAAATCAGGTACAAATATCATTAAAAAAATTAATCCCTTACGACCTCTTGCATCTGGTTCTACATTAACCATGAAAGATTTAATTATAGTTATGCATATCGGCTTGCATACAATTTATCTTAAATTCATTATTACGACGGGTGAAAGTTTAAACATCTATTCAAGGATCATTTCAGTTCAAGGGATCCAGAGGGTCTTGAAGAGGACCCTCATATCTCAATCGCATTCCCATTTTCTATTGTTTTTGTTTGTTTGTGAATCCCATTCCCAGTGCATGAAATCCCATTTTCCCAGCTCCCATTTTACCCCTTCAGGAYTCTCCTACTAAACGGGAACAAAGAAAGGGATTTTGATAAATGATGCTATAACATACAAATGGTCTATTGTCCCATCACGTTCCTACCTCCCCCATAATGCAACCGCTGGCCGGATGCGGAAATCATTTTTGTAAAATATACTTACAGCTATGCTTATTTTTTCCTTGATATTTTGATATTTTGATTTAAGATTAATTCTAAAAAAGCGTGTCCTAATCCGAGTAAGATCATTTACCCCTGTGTGTCATCACTGCTCACTTCTAAGTTAAGGAGCCGATTATTTTCAAATTAAAAGGCAAGTATGATTATGTCAAACGTTAACTTACGAAAACAGAAACTCTCTCTCTCTCTCTTTCATTATGAGTGGAGATTTCCGTAGCACTCAAAACTTTAGGCACACGATGCACGACTTTAGACTACGATAGACACACGACCATCATACAAACATGTTTAGTGAAGTTTAATCATTACCAGAGGTGTGAGGCACCACCACCCATGCTTCCCTGAATACAGATACACATATTGTAATACTTGCTGTATTTTATACTAGAAGAGCATAGATATGCAAAATAGGACTCGAAACAAAAAAATAGTACTCAACCGTACTAGACATATAAACCGTATTTTGAAAATCTCACTGCCTACTTTCCGGTCAGTCACACTGGTTTTGCGTGACTTCCATTTTCTGTTTTCCTTCGGTCACATTACACACACCACAGGTAGCCCGMCGAAAAAACAAACATGCGTAGTGTCAATTTTCCTTCTGGTACGTTGTTGGTTACCCTTCCGTGAGGAGATAGAGCACCGAAGATGAATACAAGACAAAAATAGTTCTTCGACTGAAGCACAGTCCTCTTTAGATGGATCGAGACTTAGACGTTTCCATGTCATTCCCCCTTGTGATAGCAACACATTTGATGATTCGTAGCCTCCAAATCTCTTTCACATTTGCTTGAGGTAACGATTGTATGCTTTCATTCACGTTCTTTAATATTTCCTCAACCAAACAACTAAACAGAAGCCAGTTTTTAGTATGATTACGATGATGATTGACTTCACGTTGATGGTGGTGGTGATGAAGTTGTTGAGGTGGTGATGATGATGATGATGATGATGATGATGTTTAGGCACGTAGTGGTGGTGGTCATGATTCAGTAATGTAGATGGTGGTGCTGGATTTATACTAGTGAAAGATGATGATGATGATGATGATGATGATGATGATGATGTTTAGGCACGTAGTGGTGGTGGTCACGATTCAATGATGTAGAT